CCCCCAGTCCAGCCACTTACGATCTCATCCCCTGGCCTGCAGCTGTCCACCAGGTCTGCCAGGAGGATGGCGTCCTTGGAGCGCGGCAGCCGGCCGGCCGCCACCTTGCCCGGGCTCTCCTGAATACGGATGCGTTGGTAGTTCTGGTAGACAGTCTGTGGGGACACGGAGGTCACAGGGGCCTGCGTGGAGACTGCGCCGCCCGGCATACCCGACAGCGTCACCTGACCTCACCACGGCCCGAGGTCACACTGGTGCCGTGACCCATCCTCGGAGCCAGGCCGGCAGGGAAAGTGCTGGCCCCGGCCCAGCCACCACCCCGTGCTCCTGCCCGCGTGTCCAGTCGCGCTGCTCACTGGCTGCCCCGGAAACAGAGCTCACCACGGGCCGAGGGGCCCATCGGGGCAGCAGCCCCCTGGGGAGACCGGGCGCTGCCCACACCAGCCTCTCAGCGCCCAGGAGGTGGGTCAGGCCTACAGGGCGGCCCGTGCCTCTCACCTCCTCCATGTTGACCTCGAAGGGGCCGGCCGACTGGCACTCGGGGCAGGAGCCCGGCTTCACCTCCTGGCTCTGGGACTGGGAGAAGGGCCCCAGGACGGAGGCGCACTTGTTGCAGTTGTACTTGACCAGGCGCAGCTTCGGCAGCACGCCCGTGCAGCTGGTCACCACGCCGCTGGTGCGGATCAGCTGGTTCAGGTGCAGCTGCCTGCAGGGACGCGTGTCAGAACCCGCTCTGGGGACAGGCCTGGGAGGGTGCAGGCCGCCCGCAGGCCCCTCACCTCAGTGAGCGCAGCTCCTCCACCAGCGGCAGGAGGGAGATGCGCACGTGCACGTGGCTGGCGATGCGGTCGTACTTGGGGTACATGGCCAGCACCACCTCCAGGGCCGCCTCGTCGAAGATGGGCAGCAGCTCCGCGGGCGCCTCGGGCAGGAAGTAGGCCAGGACGTGCTCCCTGGCTGCCAGGTCCTCGTAGTTCACCACCAGGCTCTCGCGGTTCTCTGCAGCACAAGGCTCGGCGTGGGGCTGCAGCCAGGACGGGCCCGCCCACCGACACCCGACCTTTCGCGCCAAACCGCACCGCGTGTCAACACGGTGAGTGCAAAGCTGCTGGGGACAGGCAGGAGCAGACCATGCAGGCCAGATAGGACACCTGTGATGGTCACCTCAGTGGGCTGGCTGCAGAGGCAGAGTGGCCCCAACACCCGCCACACTGACGCCAGGCCCAATGTGCCAGATCTGTGTCTGCAGGCCTCCCTGTGAGAGCCGGGTTAGCACACGTGTGCCCCGGCCTGGGCTGGCAGAGGCAGGCGGCAGGTCACAGCGCAAGGACCCCGGTGGGGGTGTGTCTCTGTCTCTCTCAAGGAAACAAGTCTTAAAAAAATACAGAACAGGGGACCAGCAGTTGGCACAATGGCTATGTCGCTGAACCCTCGTGTAGCCCGCTGCGGTTCGAGTCTCGGACTCAGTGGCTTAAACTCACGCCAGACGCATGTGCGTGCATGCCTAAGATCCCGAGAGAAGAACGGAGAAGGGATTGCGGCGTGGCCATCCCCCCGGGAGGTGATTTCTCGCTTTCTCTCTCTGTCTTTCCAGGGAGCGCATGTGCCCTATAGCAAAAAAAACTCTCAAAAAACAGGACCAGCAGGTGGCGAAAATTAAAGCTCTGGCTCCTACACAGCCCGTCATGGTTCAATTCCTGGACTCAGCAACCTGAGTCAGGCTGTGTGCACGTGTGCACCCAAAATCCCAAGAGCAGACTGGAGGAGAAAGGATGCGGCGTGGCCATCCCCCCGGGGATGGTTTCTCACTTTTCCTGTCTCTCTTCTCCTCTCACAGTGAGTGCACCTGCCCTAGGCAAACAGAGACAAATGGCACACGGCAGGAGGGCCGGTGAGGGCCGCAGGCCGAGTCGTGAGGTGTGTGGCCTGTGCCAGCATGCCGGGGCAGGCCGCTCCTGCCTGGCGCCAGGCTCACCTTTGCACATGTCGCCGATGCGCTCCTTGAAGACGTTGTGGCCGTGGCTGTCCACGTGGGTGCGCAGGAAGTTCTTGAAGCGGTGGTGGATCTCCAGCCGCGGCCCCGCCATGCTCACCCACTCACGCACGGAGTGGCCCTTCAGGTCCTCCAGGTTCTCGATGCTCTCGATCATGTCCTCGTCCTCCTCCCCGTCCTCCGTGGCCTGCTCCACCTGGCGCCGCTTGCGGGAAGGCCGCTCCTCGTCCTCCTCGTCGCTGTCTGCAGAGGCGCAGGGCCCGCCACTGTGTCTCCCAGAAGCTCTGGCCACCTGTCCCACCCGTGGCTCTGCAGGGGACCAGGGCCCCCCGTGCAACATTGCAACCCACCGTACAGGAGCCCGCGGCGCATGCGACCCAGGCCCCGGCCGGCCTCGCGGTCGCGCTGCCGCATAGCCCGCTCAGCTGCCTCCCTCTGGCTGGCCGTCAGCTCCTCCACGTCTTCGTCGTCCAGGGCCAGCCCCTCGGCCTCGTAGACGTCCAGTTCTGGGATGGCTCGGTAGTCCCTGAGGGAGCCCGACAGTTAGGGTTTGGGGCAGGTCTGCCGGCTCCGGCAGGCAATGCAGATCTCCCGAAGATGCCACTGCCTTGAAGGGACAGAGGCCGTGGGCTGCCACAGTGTGACCATGGCGCTAAGTGGAACAAGCCAGCAGAACTCTGTAGGTTCAGAGGCAGAGCAGTGGGCATGGGGGGCTTGCCTCAGCAGGGACCGTGTTCCAGGGGGGAAGCTGAAGACGCCGAGCCGGACGTGGTGACGGCTGCATGCTTGGTGCCACCACGCCGTACACGCAAAAAGGCGACACGGCACATTCGCAGGCTGCACCTGTCACCACAGCTGAGAGGGGAGGGCAGCCCCTAGCCTGGTGGGAAAGGGGGCTGTGGTTCAAATCCCAGCCAGGTGGCCTGAGGATCGCACCAGGCACACACGTGTGTGCACCAAATCCCGGCAGGATGAGACTGCGATGGGCTTGCACCACAAGGCCGTGCTGCACGAGTGCTCCTCCCTCCCTGGCATCCAGACAGCGCGGGGGTGGCTGGGCTGCCCGAGACCTCCCTGGGTGCACCAGGGAACCGTGTGCCCACAGTCGGGGCTGGCTGAGCCTGCGGGTGCACTGCGGAGTCGAGAGCCTGCCGGGGTACAGTCTTTGCGTCTTCCTTGTGGAAGACGTGCTTAGGAAAAGGGACGCGAGTGTCCCCAGACGCCCAGCAGGAGAGAGAGGGACTGCGGAGCCACAGACGCACAGGCCAGGAAGTCTTCAGAGCAGACCACCTGCCCAGACCAGTGGGTCCCGCCACCTGCAGACGCCACCTGCCCCCACCCAGTGGGGCCCCGGGAGTACCTCTCCATGCCGTCCCCGATGAGCTCCTCCCCGTCCTCCTCCTCCTCCTCCAGTGGCCCCTCTGTGCCCAGCAGCCCCTCGGACTCGTCCTCGAAGGGGGGCAGGTCGCGGCCGGGGCTGGAGGTCAGGGCATCCGTGCGTCGGGAGCTCCGGCCGGGGCTGGAGGTCAGAGGGTCGTTGCCTCGCCGGCGCCGGGCCGGACTGGATGCCATGGTGAAGGATTCAGAGGACTCCTGGGAGAGAGACCGAGGTCAAACCGGGCTGGTAGGGTGCTGCTGCCTGCCCTGGCTGTCCTCACGCCAACTCTCAGCCTCGAGGCCCGAGCTCTGAGCACAGGACACAGCGCGGAGAGCAGACACCGTCTCAGGGAACGCCTCCCGAGCGTGTCCAGGACCTGCTCTGGCCTCTCCTCCTGCTGGGACTGCCAGTGTG